CCAACCACGTAGGCTTCATCCCGCCAAATTGAAAATCGCAAAGAGAGATGAGTTCGACAATATGCTCAGACTGGGAATAATACGCCCTTCAAAAAGCCCTTATGCCAGCCCTCTACACATGGTTACAAAAGCAGATTCAGTCAGTTGGCGTCCATGCGGAGATTATAGGTTGTTGAACGCCCAGACCATTTCGGACAAATATCCTATCCCGCACATAAAAGATTTTGCGCTATCATTAGAAGGTGCTACAGTCTTCACTAAACTAGACCTCAAAAGGCTTACTATCAGATACCAATCGAGGAAGACGACATACAAAAAGACTGCGATCACCACTCCATTCGGACTATTTGAATTCACAAGAATGCCCTTTGGTTTGAAACTTTAAAGTCATTCCAAAGATTAATAGACGAGGTGTTACGTGGTATTAATACACATACGCGTATATTGACGATGTTTTAATTGCAAGTAAATCACATGTTGAACACAAGGAACATTTGCATGCAGTTCTAAAACGTTTACAACATTATGGTTTAAAATTAAACATTGACAAATGTATATTTGCGGTACCACAGCTAACCTTTCTTGGACATGTAATAGACCAACAAGGATTGTCTCCCTTGGATCACAAGATCAAAGCAATAACAAATTATCCCACCTTCCACAATGAAGCAATTACGGAGATTCTTAGGAATGATAAACTACTACCGACAATTCATACCGAACTGTGCAACTATAATATTGCCATTAACAGACATGCTATCGCAACGAAAGAAAAGAACTCGCAAATCGTACTATCGAAAAGACAATTAAAATCTTTTAACGATGCAAAAGACGCGTTGCAAAATGTACAAAATTGTCGTATATTAATCCATCCGAAAAATTCCAAACTAACACTCACGACAGATGCATCGGCTGACACAATTGGAGCAGTACTACACCAGATTACTAACAATGTAGAGAAACCACTATCATTTTTCTCGATAAAGTTAAACACTACCCAGAGGAAATATAGTACGTTCTCAAGAGAATTATTGGCAGTATACCTAGCAATACGACATTTTAGACACATTCTAGAAGGAAGAAATTTCGTAGTCTTCACCGACCATAAACCACTTACATATGCATTACATGCAAAGGCTGACAAATTAAATCCACGAGACCTAAGACATTTAGATTACATCAGCCAGTACACAGCAGATATCCGATACGTAAAAGGTCAGAATAACACAGTAGCGGACGCATTGTCCAGAACTACGCTCAACGCACTACAATCACAACCACTAAACTTTGACACTCTCGCTGAGGAACAAGCAAACGACAACGAATTACCGTCTGTACAAAAGATACCTCACTTCAAATTGAAAAAAGACCTTTACCCTTTACTAATGAACTCGTGTATTGTGACGTTTCCACAGGTAATCCTCGACCGTACTTACCTTTGTCACGAAGAAAATCAATTTTCGATCATTTCCATTCGCCAGCTCACCCTGGGCGAAGGCTACGCTGCGGACCATAGCTGACAGATACGTCTGGCCCGGTATGTCTTCGGACGTGAAACAGTGGTCTCGCACGTGCCAACGTTGCCAGGCAACGAAAATACACCGACATACCAAAGCACCATCGTCGACCTTCGCGACACCGATGGACGATTTACGCACATACACGCAGACTTAGTCGGTCCCTCGAAAAAATTAATGGACACGAGTACATTCTAACGATCATTGACCGCTTTACGCGATGGCCAGTTGCGATACCACTAACATCAATAACGGCGAAACAGTGGCTAACGCAATTTTCAACAACTGGATTTCTATGTTTGGATGCCCTGCAGTTATCACAACTGACAGGGTCCCCAATTTCAATCAACGCTATTCAACGAATTTGTCAACATTTTGGGCATAAAACACATCTCTACCACCGCATACCACCCATGCAGCAACGGAATAGTGGAGAGATTCCATAGACAGCTCAAGTACGCATTAACAGCGTCTACCAGTGCTCGTACGTGGGTAGATAAGCTACCATTTGTGATGCTTGCGCTGCGAAATACAATAAAACTGGATCTCAAATGCACCAGTGCAGAATTAGTTTTTGGGAAAGCAACAACGCTGCCTGGACAGATATTTCACAACGAGACGACATCTACACCAACGAATTACTTTGTGGCAGACCTAAAAAAGAAGATGATGGACGTTATATATACACCCACGAGAGCGTATAAAAAACCTTTCTACGTGCCAGCAGATCTACATTCAGCAGAATATGTTTTCCTGAGGCGCGACACTGTACGGAAACCATTAACGCCCAACTACACACAGGTCCACACCTGGTAATATCTAAAACACCCAAATTCTTCATAATTGATATCGCCGGTAAACAGAACACCGTCAGTATAGACCGTCTCAAACCAGCATATCTGCAATCCGACGACACAGATCGAACAATAACAAAACCGACGACAACAGAACAAACAGAAACGCAAACAACTACTGATACGACCGAATCAACACAGTCTACCCGTACAAAATCAGGAAGGAATGTTCACTGGCCAACCAAGTACCGAACCTACATTACATATTAATGCTCATTCACCAAGGCATTAATCTGGGGGGAGGTATTGTGGACTCTTCTAATTTTCTAACCTTCTCCAACCTTAAAAAAAGCATAATCCATATTATACGCCTACGCGCAGATAACGCTCAACCAATAAAAATGCAAAGAACCGAATCAAGCAATTCTATTGGTAGATCGCCTCCCAAAGCAAAATTGCGCCAAAATATCTTGAGCCACTTTCGAAAACCCAAAAGGTTATAAAAAGGAGAAAAGACAAACCAGTCAGTCAGTCACTTTCTGAGCGAACTCTGTCTCCGGATCGAGGAACCCTAATTAATACGCCGACATTCAAAAAGGGAATTTTACCCTGAACGCATTTTTGACGAATTTTTCAACTGACCCTAATGGCTCTGAAACACTAAAAAACGAACAACTATCGAACCCTCGTTTGAACAATATTTCAGTCAGCTCACTTTTGATTTATTCAATCTACTCCGGAAAAATAAGAAATACGCCGAAGGGAATCAGGGAAAACGCTCCGCCCTGAACCCGTTTATACGGGTTCAAAGACTATTTTTAGCAAGCCTAAAAAAAATGCCCTTATTAAAAAGGCCTTTCAACACAAACACAAAATATCTCAAACATAACGATTGCCTAAGAGACATTCAAAAACATTTTTACCGCGCATTTTTGACAATTAACTGACTCACCGAAACAATCAACGAAAATATTAACCTTGTTTGAACAATATGTAATTGATTTATTATATAAATGTTTTATACGAATTCGATCTAAAAACGAATCTCGTTCAACTTTGTTTGAAATCACGTTTGTTATATATTTGTTTTACAAGGTTTATACAAAAAACAAATCAAAATAAAAACCTAACTTGATTAATTAAATGAACCAAAAGTCCCAACACGTTTCGGAAAAATTTCTGTTCAATAAATTCTTTTATACAATAAAACCGGGCCAAATGAACATATATCAAAATTTTGGGAGGGTAATTATTCTTTTAGTTCTAAATTTCACAACCGCCAAATGAACATATACATGTATATAAATGTTTTGTATTGATGTGTTTGTGTATGTGCGTGCGTATGTACAGGCATCTTTTTTAATCACTTTGTAGGAATATTATTATTGTTACAAAATATAAAATAAAATTAAACAATAATATTTAAACCTTGTTTAAAATAAATTAAATAAAAAATAAAAATAACAAAATTGCTCCCAGCATGCAACAAAAACTATTCCCGTCGGAAATACGGACATCCCGCCAAAAGGACTGTCGTGATGACAACACGTATGCAACTTTACTCCGTGATAGGACGTGTAATATTACAGAGTAATAACATGAACATTATCAAAATTGTAATGTAAAAAACACACACTGAAATAAAATCATATGAATTACCATACAATTTGTTATGTCTTCTCTGTATCGTGTACATTTAGTTTGCTGTTTTTATCTTCGTAAAAACAAACCTAACATTCTGCTACCACTACTACTATGGTGTAAGAGAAGGCCCCCACAAAATTATGTGTACAAGAAAAACATACAAATAACTCCACAACTTCACCACCAAGAAAGTCAATAAAACCACTAAGAGGTTACTGTTGACAAAAAAAAAAAAAAAAATAAGAGAAAAAAAAAATGCATACCTTAAAGTACCTGATATTCCCAAGCAGTCAACATCTAGGTACTGACCAAACTCAACGTTGCTTAATTTCGGTAATCGTACAAGAACCAGTGTTTCAATGCGACATTTGGTTTCGAAAACTATGCAAGTCCAACATCCAAACTTATGGTGCAACTGGTACCCCAATCGGTCACCTAATCTAGGTACTGATCAGGCTCGACTGTTACTTGACAAAAAAAAAAAAAACTTCGAAAAAAAAATGATATTTTAGCGTGATATAGTTGTAAGCCACTCAACCATTTCGGTAATCAAACCAGTGTTTAGAGAACCTGGTCCATCCTCAATAGTGAACCACCTAAGTGGTAAGGCTCAGGCTCAATGATATTTTGCGTGATATAGTTTAACTTCAATGTACTACTGGTCCTCTCACTGTGAACCACCTGATGCGGCATTCACTGTACTGTACTGATGCGGCATTCACCCTGGGCGGATTAGGCCGGCTTCTTCCTGTTATGAGAAGAAGATTCTTGGGATAAATTACAGTACCCAGGCCTACTCGGATAACGTTCTTGCTTGCCGCGGGATTCCCACAGACGCAGAGACAGGAACGACCAGAAGCCGCCAGTTACCGATGCAGACGCTCCTTGGATTTTCACCAGAGCCCTTGTTAGCCGGCATTGTGTGTCAGACCTGTCCGCCTTTGGTGGCCCTACCAGGAACGAAGTTCCGGGCGGCATAGCTCTGACACTACCGTTTACCCCCCCCCCCCCACCGACTGTGAGGTAAGGGTTGGACTTTGGGGGTTTACAGTACCAGGTGTTCCCAAGCGGTCCCTGACCTGGCTCTACGATGCTTAACTTCGGTGATCGAACGAGAACCGGTGTTTCAGCGTGATTTAACCGTAACCTTAACTTCAATGATCTTACGAGAACTAGTGTTTCAACGTGATATGGCCGTAAGCTGTATGCGTGTGTGTAAAATGGCATTTTTCTCTTTCCCACCTAATGTCTCGCTTTTTGAACACTGCAATAGCGATTGATTTAATGCAAAAGATATTCTTGTTTCTCATTGAAATTATTTTGGTTGTCATTTTTACAAATGTTTTGTTTCTAACTTTTCTCACCCTTTCTTCATCATTTTCAAAGAAAAATTTTTTTTTTTCTTCGAAGAATTAATAAACCCACTTTTTTTTTAACGATTTTTTTTCTTTCCTTCGAGATACGTTTCTGGTCGCCATTTTTACGTTTTTCTTGTGAAAATTTTCATTGTGCCTGACAAATATTTCCGTTTTTTTTACCCTCCTATTTTCCGTCAAAAAGATTTCAAAGTTTCAAAAATATTTCTATGAATAGCGGAATGTCCTAACGTAGAATTCATCTTTTGAGTAAATTCAGGCTTCTCGTCTTTGTTGTAAATTGAAGATTTGTATGTTAAATTGGAAGACAAATGATTTTATAGACGCCATCTTTTGTAATCGTTTTATAGGCCTGTTGTGAATTTGAGGATCAAAATTATACTTTTTTGTGATTAACCACCGTCGACCAAAAGAGAGTTAATATAATGTACATTAAAACAGGTGGGCACATCTGAGTGGTTACAACGTTCTCTTTCCGACCAGGAAAAAAGTTCAGGTGATCCCACCGTGTGGCACCTTTGGAAAGTGCATAAAAACCAGACACACCAGTTGATCCAAGCATTGTAAGTGAAACTGGGTAGGCTATTGTACAGACTATTAATCACACAAGATGATAATGCGCTCTCGCAGAAACTTTCACTAAGCTCCGCTCAGAATAGTTGCTGTAAAATACCACACATGGGCTCTGTGCCTGTTGACAAACGCTAATGTGCCTGGGCAGGTGTCTGGCACAGGGATTGATATTTTAACATTTTTGCCTTTTAAGTAATGATTTTGTTTTTTACGGAAATTCATTTTTATGCGCCTTGTCCCTGAAGGACGTGGGTGATAGTGACTGCACAACAATATATTCTCTGTCAATCTTTCATTTATTTTTTTCTTTCTTTCAATTTTTTCGATTACATTCTTTCAATTTAATTTTTCTTTAGACCATTTATAAATTTTCTCTCGTTTATTCCTTTATTTACTTTCTTTCATTTATTCAATTTCTTTTCTTTCTTTCATTTAATGATTTTCTTTCCTTTTATTTTATTCATCTTCTTTCATTCAATTTATTCGTTTTTCTTTCGATTTACTCATTTTCCTTCATTTATTCATTTTTGTTTTATAATTTTTCTTTCTTTCAATATATTCATTATCTTTCTTTTTTTCGTTTATATATTGGTTTATTTTCTTTCAATTTATTCATTTTCTTTCAATATATTTATTATCTTTCCTTTTTTCGTTCATTTATTCTTTCATTCATTTCTTTTATTTAATTTCTTTCATTTATTTTCTTTCATTCATTTCTTTCATTCATTTCTTTTATTTAATTTCTTTTATTTACATATTTTCATTTATTTATTTTCTTTCTTTTATTCATTTTCTTTCCTTTCAATTTCTTTTTTCTTTCATTTATTCATTTTCTTTTCTTTATTCATTTTCTTTCATTCAATTTATTCGTTTCTTTTGATTTACTAATTTTCTTTCATTTATTCATTTTCTCTTTCAATTTATTCGTTTTCTTTCATTTATTTTTTTGCTTTCATTTGTTCATTTTCCTTCTTTCTTTCATTTATTCATTTTTTTCTTTTATAATTTTTCTTTCTTTCATTATATTCATTATCTTTCTTTTTTCATTCATTCTTTCGTTCATTTATTGGTTTATTTTCTTTATTTTTATTAATTTCTTATTTTACACAAACATCGTTTTTTTTAACTGCCTCACCCTACCACCCGTTTTTCTCTCTTGTTTATTTCTTTGGTTAGCCACACAAGTTGCCCTCTCTTTGATGCTCCACTTGGGGGTCACATGAACCATAGGAGATCGATCATCATCTCGCAGCATATTTATCAAGGTAGGCTAGCATTTGCATCTGTTCACTTCAACTGGATTGGCTTTGGGTGCGGAAGGATGACTGGTTGGGACAAGCTAACATAAACATGTGTTGGATCCCAAATGAGAGGAATTCATTAATTTGGAGTTTATGAAACCAACGGAGTACTGTTCACAGCGGAATAAAAAGCACAGTTTACCAGTGAAACAAAAAGGTGGACAAATACTTGTAAATTTTCCAGATAATCACGGAACAAACTTAAAGTAACCCAGTCCTAGCTGGCGCATTCTCGGATCAGCTGCGGCTAAACCAGTCCCCCCCAACCAGGCTTTTCTAGTGAGGATTGAAACGAGACAGCCTGCCGAATAAAAACAAGCTTACTTCCCTGTCACGTACAATCTTCAAAAATTTAAATGCCAATCGCCATCTTCTGTCTTCCAGATAACTATTCTTCTATTGTTCTTTATCCTTTTATTGTTCCTTGTCCCTTCAGGACTTAAACGATAATGGTCCTGCACCTCCTCCTGTCCCAGGTAGCTCTTAATAAGTTTTGTTTTTTTGTTATGCAATCCATTTGCTCAAGCCCAGTAAGTATGCCACATATTGCTTTCCCCTGTCTCTCTTTCCCTCTTTCCGTCCTGTGAGTGTCAGATTTTCCAAGCCCTCCTTCCTCATTACGTGTCTGATAAATTTCAACTACCTTTTCCTGATGTCATGTATAAGTTTCCTCTTTGTTTCCATCCTCTCCAAAACCTTGTCATTTCTCACATATTCGGCCTATGGTATCCTTAGCATCCTTCTGTAGAACCAGGCTTCTGTTGCTTCGAGTCTTCTTCATCTTTGAAAAGATTTACCATACTACTGAAGTATTTTCATTCTCTTTCACTCCCAGTAACCTAGTGTGACACTACTGTGACAGTGGTAGGATTAAAACGGTTCATGTGAAAACCCCGTATAGAATTGTAAGAGTTATAAATTGCAGAGCCGGTAATGAAAGCAATGTGGTGTGTCGTTTTATAAAGATGCAAAATGGGCAGAATATTGTATGGGTGACATTGGAAAATCGACAATAAAAAAATTCTTTGACGTCAAGGACATAGAAATAATTTATAAACACAAAGTTTGTTATCAGGAAAACATTGTTTTTAATCAGTAACTGATCGCGGCAGATTTTCGTCAATATATAGAAAGAAATGACAAACAAGGTTTGTTGTCGAAGAATGTATTGTTTTGAATAACTGATCGCTTTGTTTGAAGATCAGTGTCATTTCTCCAAAACTGGAGAAATAATTAATTGATATGAATATTGATGAATCATGAGGTGCGGTGGGAGTCGGACGAATACATATAAACAGAGCGCTTAAGCGACCCAGGAATTGGAGCGAGAGACGAAACAGCAGCCGACGAAGGAGCTGCTGAACCCCACGTGACCTGCTGCCGAGAGAATTTCCGAACGACCCCTTTCTTTGTTGATTAAACCCGTTTCAAATTTTAGAAGAAAAAGACAACGTGTCACGAGAGTTTAACGTGGCAGGTTAATTTTGTTGTATCAAAATCTATATAAAACAACTAAAAATTAACCCGGCGACCTTCTTCCTTATTTTCTTATGTTATTTTTATTTTCGCCGGCGGAAGTTTTCTCTGTCTTTTAATAGCATGGTTCCGCCGCGGTTCGATCCTGCGCTCAAGTACGAACGAAATCGATATTCACTGCTCTGTGATCAAGGAACACAATGTGGCGCAGAGGCAGATAAAGGAATGAATGGGCAAGTAGACAACCTTCAGTTGAACGGTTGCAGTACTGACCAGCGTGGGAAATATCCAGGATCGAGACGGGGCAGCCGTGTTATATTGGCATAATTGCCTTTTGTTGAAATTCTATATATATATATATGTACCTAGACATGTCAAGAGAGATACAAATGTTCTTGGAGCTTTAGCAGCTATCTATCTCAATGGGGCTAAACTGGGGTTTAATGCTCTATATACAGACACTGAGATGATGACACTGCATTGAAGTTAGCGGACAAGGTGGCGGTTTCCTGTGATAGAATCAACGGCTACGTTTCATTGATCAAGACGAGCCTTCATATATACGAAAAAGGACATAAAAAGAAAAGAGAAAGATAGGCACCTACCTAAGTAATAACAAAAAGTTCTCCATGCCTCTAGCAAATAGACCAAGACAGAGCCGTTACACTAACACAGCCGTAAACAACACAAAGAGACTAGGTTGAGATCATTACTCCGTGTTTCACGGAGAGCGATCATCCGACGACAAGAGCTAGTGTCCTCCTGTAGTTAGAGTAATAGATTTGCTGAGACATGGTAATTTCTTCCACGTTTTTACCTCCGTGTGGGCGACATTTGTTCCCGGTCTTTTTATTTTCCAGTGTTTCTATTTCAGGAGGATCGGTCCTACCATATGGCAGTGAATGCTGGGCCATCTCATCACAGATGGAGAAAAGACTTCAAGCAACAGAAATGTGGTTTTAGAGAAGGATGCTAAGAATACAATGGAGCGAACATGCCAGAAATAATTTTGTTTTGAGAAAAGGACACATATACGCATCACGAGAAAGAGACATTTGATATTTCTCGGGTACATAATGAGGAAAGAGGGTTTTGACAATGCGACTGTAAGCAGTAGGGCTTGAAGGTAAAAGCGACAGAGGTAACCAGTGCATAACCTACTGAAGGAGTTTGTGTAACTGGCTCGCAGAACAAAGATTAGAAGATAAAGCAAAAGGAAAAACTTTAGAAGGGGCTACAAAGAAAAGGAAGTTGTGAAGAACTATGATTGCCCACTTCCTGAAGGGACAGGGCACATAGAAGAAGAAGAATCTTCACTGACGGTCGCTCTGCGTGAAATCCGGAGTAATGATTTGGAACTAGTCTTTTTGTTCTGTTTACTTGCTTAGTGTCTCTCTCTCTCTCTCTCTCTCTCATAT